TCCAAGGAAATCTGACTCCTTCACGGCCCACTCACACTTGAAAGGGTTGCATTTCATCCCATTGGAGGCTAGCCGTTGAAGGACTGGGTCAACCAGAGACAGGTGTTTGCTGAATGGTCCTCTGGACCAAATCCCCATGTCATCAATATAGACTTCAACATCAAGATTGACCAATATCTTGGTGATAAAGGCTTGGGCGTAGTCTGGAGATGATTTAAGGCCCATAGGCAATCTTAGGCATCTGTAATTGCCGTGTGGTGTGGTGAGAGTGCAAATTTTCTGGCTCTCCTCATCTAGCTCAAAGCAGTAGAACATCATGGATAGATCAATCTTAGTGAAGTGATTGTATCGTGTTCTCCGGTTCAGGATGTCTTGGATTTTGGGGAGATTAAACTTAGGTCTATTTATCCATTTGTTTAATTCTCATAGGTCAACAAGCCATCTGACTTTGCCGTCCTTCTTTGGAATAATGAAGGCTGGAAAGCCCCATTCTGAATTGCCAGTGGGGGCTATCACCCCTTCATCAACAAGATGCTGGCATTCCCTTTTGAAGACATCCTCGTGTCTGTAGGGAACTGGGTATGGTCTTATATAAACTGGTTCTGCATCATCCTTGAGATTGATGTGGATCTTTTTGTGTGGATATCTGCCTAGTTTGCCATCAAACAACTCYTGGTGTTTGGCTAACRTCTCTGTGAATGCTAGTCTTTCTGAACTGTTCATATGCTCCTGCTGGTCTGCAACCTGCTTTGGAGTCACCTTCTGGTACTGCGCGTCCAGGATTTTTGTTGCTTTAGTAGCTCTGGCAGCATCTGCTGCTAAATAACTGTCCGAACCAACTGCACGTCTGCAGTTTTGTGGTCAGGAGCTGCTTGGGGGGAGTAGATGAAACTCTAGGAATCCTCCATCTAAGAGTTCATCATCCTCTGCAATCCACATGGCTTCTGCCACGTGCTGGGGATCATTGAAGTGATCTATTGGTTTCATATCGATGGTTGAGCCTAACCATCTGATAGTTCAAGTGGAATAGAGAAGGTCTATTCCAGTCATCAAGAGGAAGTCCCTTCCCAGGATCATATCATAGTTACAAGGGGCGGAGAAAAGCCTTGCATTGATTCCTCTTGTATATTTGCCATTCCAAATTCGGGGAGTCGTATGTTAGAGATGAAAACATACTTAGAAGTATCGAAGCTTCCCTGGGCTGTAGTAGTGACTGAGTTGAAATGGTCTTGGAAGGGCACTGTTCCTGGTGGAAGGTAATGCTCGTGAATAAGGCACATTGTACTCCCACTATCTAATAGAACCGTAAATGTCTGCATGGTTGGTAGATCTTGGATGGCTTTGCACACTAGGATGACTGCTGGTATTACATACTGCACATCCGGTGGTGTTTTCAGAGCTCGTAAGGTTGTTGCTGTTGGATTCTTAAGAGCTTCTTCATTATCAAGACCATAAAGCTCAAGGCTGTCCGCTAGTGATTGAGTGGATGGTGGTGGAGGCAATGCTGCAAAGAAGGCCTCTTTCTGATGTCACCATTGTTGATTTGGCCCTTGTCCTTGGAATCAGACCGTAGAGCCCATATTGCTGTTGGACTGTAGTGATACATGGCTTGGGGGGCCACCACTGGAGTTAGAGCTGGTAATCTGATAGCTCTGAGGTTGGATTGTTTGTGGTTGGAAGTTGCTCATTTTCCCATGCTCATCCATGGTGCAGGAATAATTTCCTGGCACAAACCTCTTGTTGCTGCTTGAATTTGAATTTCCTTGATTCCCCTGATTTCCTCTGTAATTGTTGTTATTATTGCTCCGATTATTACCTTGGTAATTGTTTCCTCGCGGATTGGAAGGACAGTCCCCCCAAAGATGTTCTCCATTATGCTTCCTGCAGGGCGTTGCATTGATCCTATTCTGTCTTTCTTCCGGGGTCTCATTCTGTCTGTTGTTCCTATTATTGTTGTTGCCGCGTTTCCTTTGTTTCCCGTTGTTCCTTCCTCATTGTCCTGCATTAGTATCTTCTGCTTGTCTCTTCCTCGGTTGTCTGTGCTGTTCATCATCTGCCATTCCCTTTTGGTCAGTCATGTATTCCACAATGTCTTCAATCATATCCCTCATGATATCTCTCCCACACCGAGTGTAATCATTCTGCCAGGACTTGGGGAAGGATCTGAAAAGAATCTTTTTGATTTCTCTCTCTGATAGAGGCTCCCAGATGCCATGAAGAATGTTGGCTCTGGCACAGCAGGTCTGTACTCTATCCGCATGGGCTTCACAGGAGACTGAATGAGGTTTTCTGATGGCGTCTAATTCCAAGTATTCAACAACATCATCCCTAGCATACTTCGATGGTGCATAGAACCATCTGAAGGTAAGGAGAGCTGTTTTTCAATGTGCTTTAGTGGTCCTTGGTATTCGCAGTCAGTTGTTGTTCCACATGCTGTTCCATTTCTGCCTGGGCCTATGTGCAAGGACTATTTGCCACTTCCTGTCTATTTGATCCTCTGCTATTTCCAGGTCCAGGATTGCATCTTCAAAGTCTTCTTGTACATGGAACAGTTCTTGCAACCCATGCTCCCCTGAGAAGGTTGTGCAGGTCTTCGATAGCTTTCTTACTGGGTTTCTGAGATTCATAGTCATCGAGACTGTTTTCAACTGGGCTGGATCGAAGCTGTTTGTAAGTCTTAAGCAGGATCGGTGTGTTTGTTTGGAGGAGTTKGTATTCTTATTTGGTTTCACCATGGTCGATGTGGTATTTTTGGTTGATTTGCTTAAGGGTTGATAATTTCGATACATGAAAAATCACTTAGTAATCACTGGCACAAGATTACGTTATAAATCTACCACTTTGGACTTGATTATATTCGTTAAATGAACATTACCTTCCATGCAAGACTGCATAGTAAACTTTTCCAGGAATGTAACAACTGAGGAGTAATTGCTTTCGGATGATGGAATATAAGTCTTCACATCTGACACAAGGATGAGAAGAGAGATTCAATTGAACTCAAAATTGCTGTCGATTCCTTCATAATCTCATCGAAATGGTTGACCAACTGTCTCAATTGGGGAATACTGTCCTCAGAGAGGGCAAACTGCACATCAGATATTTTGGTAAGAAAAGAACTGATGGTGGACATCTTGATGAGTTCATTTGGAATGAGGGTAAGTTAGAAAAAGAAACTTGAAATGTAGTACAGTGACAATATTTCTGTATTATGAGATGGTCCGGAGAAGAGAAATGCGGCAAAAATTTCTTTCTCCGAACAACAGTAGTCCAAATCTGAAATACAAAAACCACAACAGCTGAAGACAGGAAACCAACATCGTGGACCTGTTACTGTGCAGAAACACATCTATAAGTTCGTAACGGTGTACCCATAAGGGATATAATCCAGGACTGCTTTCCAAAGATGAATAGTTTGTTGAAGGTCTTTGTATCAGTTTCGGTTTTTGATTTCCGTTTCGATCCATGCAAGAGTAAAAAGAATACTAAATTTTTGTACTAAGTGCTTGCGTAGAGAAAAAACCAGTACCATGATTGGGAGTTGTTACTACTGACAAATGGTTGAACAACGGAAAAATCTGGTTGTCCGTCAAACAGACATGGGTGCCTGTCACGGTGTAACAACCCCTTGCAACCTTTCTTGAATGACAACATCATGCTCCCAACCTCGCAGAATAACTGTTGAACAAAACATGACCATTAACACGTGAATCAGAGGGGGGTGGGGTAAAAAAAGGGGGGGGTTTGGAATACAAAATAAAGGGATGCTAGGGCACGTGATAGGTTGCAATCACTTTTTGTGACGTAAGAGTTGCGAGGATCGTAAGAGGTCCAAGATATCTTATCTTATAAGAAAGAACAAAGATGTCACGAGTTCCGAATAGTAAGAACCCTGTGTAGTTTCAGTAACAAGGCTACACAAGGATCTAATCGGAACTTTGGAAATCTCACGAAACGATGTGATAATCTATAATCTTATGATTCAATTTTCATACACACTTAAACACTTACTAAGAGTACACATAATCGTGAAGAAACTCATTCGGCACCAACAATGCAAATCCCACTTTAATTTTTAACTCCCATCTGGACGTAAAAAATATTGCAGTATTCAATGGTTGAGAATGCAACTAAAAAGCTACTGAATGGTTGGTAGGCAAGAAAAAGAAGTACTGCAGAGAAAAAGCATTACGGTCTCAAAAACAGGACTATGGTTGTGAGTATGGCTATTTGGGGTCATAGGGTTATGTAGTAGGAATTTTCGGTGCCTTCGAGGCAATTGTGATAATGCAATTTTAGTTGCATTTTCCGAATACAGTACGTACTGACCGATCACTGGCTTTGTGCACCTACGTATATGATGTACTATTCTACATGGTTGCATTTTTGGTTGATATTCGTTTGTGTACGGTACGTACGTAATCGTCCGGTATGCACATGACTGTTGTTGCATATCATGCAGGCGCGCTCCTTTTAGAAATAGTCTCCTGTAGTCAGACTAGTCGGAGATCTGGTAGCTTACCTTTCCACAGCATCTTTGTTTTCTATCGCCGACAGTCATCGTCACTGACACTGTTCTTTTGTTTTTTAAGGACGATTTTTAGCTGTACCAAATCTGTAGAAATGTAGTTTCATCCTGGTCGCCTTGACGAATAACACTTCTACCGAAAAAATTTGTTTAGTTTTTGATGTTTTTACTTTTTGTGGGAAGAAAGTTTTGCACGCCATCCGGGACTAAGGCATAATAATTACTAAATGCTGTGCACCATAATTATGCATTACTTAATGAATCGTGGTCATGGTCCTTGATGCACGACTGCATAATTGTTTGTTACGATGTGACCTTATGTCTTCTCAAGGTGCCAAAAAATCGATGTTGACATCGCACATGGTTTGAGAATTTTTTTGAAAAAATGATGCCGTCACCATCTCGGCATCTTGATAAAGCAATCATTTTCATCTTTAGATGAAGTCTCTTCTGCACTTGCAACTCGCATAAATCCTGGAAACACAAAAGTGAATACGCACAAACGCACTGCATGTACAAACGATAATACAAACATTTTCGACACCATGAACGATAGTAAATATATGAAGCCCGTTGGAGAACGGACGTCAAGAGGGAAAACAACGGCGGAAGCGAAAGGTCTGGAGTGGACGAAAAATGTTCCTGTAACAAAAGAATACGAATTTGTAAGAAGAGATGATTCCCACATGGCAAAAAATGAAACCGGCTTCCTTGAAATAGGTAAAGCCGATCCAACCTATGCCTACGACGTCGGAGGAACGTGGAAACTTCTCTACAGAAAACCCGATGAAAAGCCTATAGGACCCGGTATCAAGCCAAAGAATGAACAACCGATGAAAATCTTCGTTCGCTCTTGGAACGACGAAATATTCCCTCTGGACAACGTTAAGCCACAAGACAGCATCGACGAGATACGATTCCGATTAGAAGAAGAACACTGCATCCCTCGAGAACAGCAACGGCTGCGACTAGGTAGCGGACAACCTCTGGTCAAAGATCGGAAGAGTCTGGAAGAATATGGGATCAAGGACGAGGACATTCTCGATCTTGAACCGATGTCAATCACAGTTCGGCTTTTGGGTGGTCAAACTGTTCACCTCGAGGTGGAACCGCAAGATGCCATTAAAGACATCAAGTGGCTAGTAGGGAACAAGCTGGATATTCCAATTGATGACTGTATTCTTTTATTCAAAGACAAGTCGTTACCTGAAACCTCCACCCTGGATGAAAATGACATTCACCATGGCGATGTGATTGATTTGCAACAAATGGAAATCTACGTCATTGATTTAGACGGTCAGAAGCTTGAATACTTGGTCAGTCCATCGGATACGATTGAGAGCATCAAAAATGTGTTGGAAGAAGACACTGGATTGAAGAGAGAGGATCAGAGATTGTGCTTTCAAGACAACCTTCTAAAGAATGATAAAATGACTCTCAAGGATGCTGGAATCAAACACCAAGACACCCTTGCACTTGAGCCGATGCAAGTAACTGTCAGATCTACTACCGGGGGTACCGTTGACCTTCTAGTGGAACCTGATCAAAACATCGAAGATATCAAGTGGCTCGTGGAGCAAAATCTTAACATTCCCATAGAAGATCAGCATCTTTCTGTCAGAGGGTGCTCGATACCTCACAATACTAGTCTTCGTGAAAACAACATTTACCACGGCGACGTCATTGATTTACTACCAACGAAAATCTATGTCATTGATCTGGATGGCCAGCAATGGACGTACCCAGTAAATCTTGAGGACACTGTCAAAAGCATCAAGGATCGGTTGAGCTATGATACTAGGATCAATCGGAAAAACCAGAGGTTGAGTTTCAAGGGAAAGCTTCTCGAAAAAGATATGAGTACCCTAAGAAACAATGGTATCCAAAATGAGGATGCGCTGCACCTTGAGCCGATGCAGATCAAAGTCATTGCTCCTGATGGCGATGTTTATGAACTTGTTGTGTCTCCTGATGATACTATTCAAGAAATCAAGGAACTAGTGCAGGAACAGCTCGGTGTACCAGTTGAGGATCAGACTCCTACATTCAGAGGCAACCCACTTCCTGAAAACAGTACTTTGGAAGAAAACAATATTGACCATGGTGATTCAATTGATTTGCAACCAACAGTGATTCATGTCATTGATTTGGATCGCAAGAAGTGGTCGTACTCGGTGAACCTCGGTTTGGATAATATCAGAAGCCTTAAGAACCAGTTGAAAATTGACACAGGTGTTATCCCAAAGCTTCAACGTTTGGTCTTCAACGGCAACCTTCTCAAGAATGACAAGAGTTCTCTGAAAAATGCTGGGATCAAACATGAGGATATATTGAGGCTCGAACCTATGCAAATCACGGTGAGGACTAACGATGGACGTATCGTTGACCTTGCGGTGGATCCTGATGATACCATTGAAAGCATTAAGAAGCAAGTTGAGGAATACCTTAGTATTCCCATCGAATATCAGCTTCCGGAATTTCATGGAAGTCTGCTGAATGACAACAGCACGCTCGAGGAAAATGGCATCTATCATGGTGACGTGATTGACTTGGGACCTATGGAGATTTACGTCATTGATTTGAATGACCTGAATTGGACGTACATGGTTGACCCCTTTGTCATGGTCAGCAGCATCAAATCAAAAGTAGAACGCGACATTAAGGTGAGCCGGAAACACCAGCGCTTGAGTTTCCAAGGCCGTCTTCTCGAGAACGATGAGATAACGCTAAAGGATGTTGGAATCAGGCACAGGGATACACTGAAACTCGAACCAATGAGAATCAAAGTTATTGCTCCGGATGAAAGTATCACCGACCTTGCTGTGGATCCCAATGATACTATTTTAGATGTCAAGGACCAGATACAAGATAAATTGGGTATTCCGATTGAAGATCAGCTTCCTGTGTTTGGTGAAAGTCCACTGTGTGATAAAAGTACGTTAGAGGAAAATGGAATCTGCCATGGGGACGCAATTGATTTGAAACCAATGGAGATCTATGTCATCGATTTGGATGGCAATAAACGGACATACATCGTTGAACCCACCGATACCGTCAATAGCGTCAAGATGAAGCTAGAGGACGAGACGGGAGTAAAGAGGAAGGAACAGAGATTGAGCTTCCAAGGCAAGGTTCTCAAGAAAGGCAAACGCACCCTCAAGGATGCTGGAATTAGACATAAAGACACCCTAAGGCTTGAAAATGTGAATATCATCGTCAGGGCTCCCGACGGACGCACCGTCAACCTTCTTGTGGATCCCGATAACACCGTTGAAGATATCAAGGAGAAAGTACAGAATCAGCTTCGTATTCCAATCGAAGACCAGCGTCCCACATTCAAAGACAGCCTGCTACCTGACAATAGCACTTTGGCAGACAACAACATTGGCCATGGCGATGTGGTTGACCTGCAACCAATGGAGATCTATGTCATTGATATGGATGGCAGGCAACACACCTACACAGTGGATCTGTCTGATTTCATCAAAGACGTTAAAGATCGTGTGGCAGATGGCACGGGTGTGAAACCCAGACAACAGCGCTTGTTTTTCGAAGAAACCCTTCTGGACGACGATCGTAACACCCTCCAGAACGCTGGAATCAAGCACCAGGACACGCTCAGGCTCGAGCCATTCGAGATCTCCGTTCGGTTCCCACTCGGCGAGAAGACAATTGTTATTCAAGTAGATCCCGAGACCACGACTGCCAATGATCTGAAACGCATTATACAGGATCGCGAAGGCATTGCGCCCGGGGATCAGACCCTGAGTTTCGGAGGCCAGAAGCTCGAAAAACCGAACCCGCTTGGGGATTTCGACGTCAAGCACGGCGACATAATCGATCTGAGATTACCACCTCCACCAAAGATTAAAAAGTCGTACCTGACCCCGGAGTGGAAAGAAAAACAAAAGGACCGTTACGGCAACCTCAAAGTTACAACATATAAATTGGACTACAATGGCGAACCGGGAGATTCTCTCGTCGCCGAAGTCAACGTTGACAGTTCTGACTTCAAGTTTCAGAGTCCTCAGTTGAAGAGCCAAATGAAGTTTTAGGAGACAGAATGCGAAGGCATCCCATTATATTTAAATTCTTGTAAAACTATACGTGACAATTTTTTAGAAACCAACATCAAAACCACAATGAGATCTATAGCAGCAGTATGAATCAGCACCAGTGGGGTTCCGGTTGTATCAATATAGCTTTTGCGTCCAGATTCCTCCGATTGATGCTCGATTAGCGGCAAGTGTCCCACGAGGCAGMAAGCCCTTGCTAGCGGTATTGCCGTAGCAATGGGCTTGCGCCGTGTTTTGTTTTGTCCCTTCAGGTAGATATTCCCACTAGTTTTTCGCTTAGTGCCCACAGGCGCTTTGCCTTTTCGTCGTCCATCGACTCCGTGCTTGTGGCCACGGGGGCGAATTCCTTGCCAAAGGCCCCCTGATAGTCGTTCCCGTCGGCCGCGTACTTGAACGAGGTCCCAGGTTTGCTGTCAAAGAATTTTCCGCTGGTCCCCTCGACCGTGGTCATGTATGCCAGTGCAGCTCCCCCGTATTCTGGTGTCTCGGCGACCCGAAAGACGCTGCTGGCTGCCACGTTAAAGATTGACGAAAAGACGGGGTTTTGATACCTGAAAAAACCCGAGGAGGTGATGAGGCCGGGAGAAAAGGCGTTCACCACGATATTTTTTGTGGCTTCGTCCGACCCGAGCCTTCGTTGGAGCTCCTTGCAAAACAAGATGTTGCATAGTTTGCTGTCCTTGTAGGCCTTGTCCCCGTTGTAAGGGTTCCCATCGACCATTTGAAAGTTCTTCCCGTCCCTGGCAAAGCCCACGAGATCACCGAGGGTTGCCGGGACGCCCTGTTTTCCGCCCGGGCTCTCTGGATCGTGCACACTCGACGCGGTGACGACCACCTTGGCGGTACTGGTGTTCAGTTTTGGCTGGAGGAGGTGGTGGAGGTAAAAATGGCCGAGGTGGTTCGTTCCGACGGTCTTTTCAAAGCCGTTGGTGGTCCGCTCGATCTCGCCCTTGGTGTTGAGGGCGATTCCCGCGTTGTAGCAGACGACGTCCAGGGGCTGCTTGTCCAGGGAGGCGGCGAATTTCTGGATGGAGTCCAGGCTGGCGAGGTCGCATTCGGCGGCGACGAGGTTGGAAGACGGGCTCTCCGCCAGGATTTGCCGGGCGGCGCCCTCGGCCTTGGCCTGCGTCCGGCAGGCGAGGACCAGTCTGTCGGCCGGGTTGCGGCGTGCCAGGATCCGTGCGGCCTCGAGCCCGATGCCGGAATTGCATCCCGTGATGAGGATGGTTTTGGAGGCACCTTCAGAAGAGGCCGCCTCCTCGGCGGCGGAGGCAGCCCATTTCGAGGGGATACTGTCAGGTCCGAGCGTGTCTCCGAGCCACAACGAGAATACCGCCATGCCCGTGGCTTTCAGGGCCCTCCGTCGGTCCGTGGCTCCGGCAGCCGGATTGGAACTGGAAGGGTCGGTTTCATCGCTGCGCACGGGTAGTGCTTCGAGAAAGCATCGCCGGCCAGCTCTTCCGGAGGCTTCGGTGGTTCTACCGTCCCAAATCGATCCTGTGCGGCGATTGTGCTCCTGGAGGAAGCCATCGACCGACCTGGCACCGATCAACAGCAAGAAAAATGCAGAAGGGAGAGCGAGGGCACTCATTGTTTGATTCGGAAGGTAATTCCTGCGCAGAATGGTGTTGGTTTCGACCCTGGACCTTGGACATTGAACGCTACGCTTACGAGACAATGTACTTGAGTGACATGAAGATCCTTTGTGCTGATTTCATACCGGGACGAGTACGTACGTATCGTCCGCACGCAGAAAGTCTGAAAGTGTCAGTCGCTACAGTACTACACTGGGACGTTGGGAAACGACTCATAACCAGATCCTTTAAGCTACAGGACCTACGGCACAGCTACTGAGACACGTGCCTCCTCATAATTGTGTACTTTAAGCTACTGGACCTACATCTCAGCTACTGAGTCACGTGCCTACTGATATATAAGCCAACCTGAGAAGCGAAAAATAAAGTAGCGTGAAGTAGCTTAAAATCGACTTTTTAAGTCGATTAAAAGCTACTTTTAAGGTACTAAAAAGTAGCTTTTCGGTAGCCGTTGGATTACCATTATATATATACATTGATGAATAAAAATAATGTCTTTCCGTTAATTATTTTCAATCGTGGGACTAGCTTTGATGAATATATATATATCATATAGGCTGGGCAACGTGTTTCCGGGCGAAATTATCGTACATTTTTGAATACGGATATTCGTACACGTATATCGCCCACACCATTAGAAAGCTCTTTCAATTCTCTTTTCAACCATGTGCTTATCATTAAGTGTCCGTTGGGGACCAAATTATAGCTGTTAGAGTGAGTTGTACCCTAGTTAACTCTCTACGTGTATGGGGATTTTTGGCCATCTTTTTACCTTGTAATGACTTCTTTGACTCATCTCAACGGACGCTTTTCACCTCAACAGACAAAGTTGCTCACAAAATTTGGCCACTAATCGTGTAAACTCTTATCTTGGCAATTCCATTCCTTGATATGCATATACATTTGTTCTGTTTCCGGTTTATCAGAAGGAACAGTGCCGGATGCATTTCCCCATGCTTTTWACACGGTGTATCGATCCCATTTCTTTCTCTTAAAATCGATCGAGAACAATACACGCTGTGACGCTGTGACAGAGGGCACCCCTGCTAAGTATGGAGGATACTGCAAAAAGCGAGCAAAAGCAGCATAATAAGCAAAACAAGCAAGATGAGCAAGATGAGGAGCAACTCAAAACGCCTGATTTCCTTGTGGAAGACCTCCATAAGGATGTATATCGACGCTACCCTGCAAGCTCCCCAGACTCAGTCCCTCCACGACGGACTGGAGCAGTCTTATTCGGTTGCCATCCAAAGCAAAGACTGAAGTTAAATAAAAGGAGAGCAAGAACAAAGAAAGCCCGGCACCAAGCCAGGATGCTTGTATACGAAGGTCCGAAGGCCTGTGCTTTCAAGCACTGGATGCCACGGCGGAAGCTTGCAATTGTAAAGGGCAACATGGAGATGAAGTGGCACCCAGCATCCAAGGCAAGGGAAGCAGCAAAGTTAATTAAGAGCATCGAYCCAGGGCTTGGATGGAAGATACAGATTGTAATGGATACTTCAGTTGATCCCCCTGAAGCTCCTGAGCCCCCTCCACCAGAGATAATTGATGATCCCTCACCACGCGTCCAATTCGTATTGAATCAAGACTGGAAGTGGGTGAAGGATTGGGAATGGGACCAAAAGCCAACACCATACAACAAAGAGCTGAATGAGACCTGTGCTGGCTGTTTAAAGACAACCTGCTTAAAGAAGAAAGATATCGCAAAGGCAATAGAGCTTGCTAGATTTGCAAAGCCACTGTTGCCTCCGACAATGAGTGTTGGTGACAAGCACGAGTGGTTCTTAGAGATATACAGGTCTGTAATGAAGAGGGAAAAGAATGTAACCCCCTGCATTCAGTGTGCAAAAGAATTTTGCTTTGATGAGTGGGGACATCCCATGTATGATCAAAGAAGAAGCTTATCCTTTGATTCAGCTGACTATGAGGAGATGAATCATACAGATGAGGCGGAGGAGTTGGATATTGAGAACCAGCAACCAAATCAGCAACCAAATAAGCAACCGAATAGTAAGCAACAACCGAATGAGTGTACTATTCATATTTAAGGAGAAGTTTGCTGATACGGAGGAGTTTCCTGATGGTGATGCGTAAGAGTTTGCTGATATGGATGAGTTTGCTGATGGTGATACATAGGACTTTGCCGATACGTAGGAAGGAAGCAACCAAATGAGCTGCTGATAGGGAGGAGTTTGCTGATAGGGAGGAGTTTGCTGATAGGGAGGAGTTTGCTGATAGGGAGGAGTTTGCTGATAGGGAGGAGTTTGCTGATGGTGATACGTAGGAGTTTGCTGATACGTAGGAAGGAAGCAACCATGAGCAACCAAATGAGCAACCGAATGAGCAACCGAATGAGCTAATAACTGAATGAGTTAAGTAGTTATTTCATTTATTACACTGATTCTAATGGTCCAACCACTGTGGTTGTAAACCCACCACCAGTAGTAGTACTATTCTGAGTTGCACGAGATTACGTGTACTTAGTAGGTGTTAAGTGTGTATGAAAACTGAAATTATAAGATTAAGATTACCAAGCGCGTTCACGAGAATTCCGAAGTTCTGAT